GAGCCCTGCATTAAGCTCCACATTTGGCAAGGAGTCTGCTTATCCCTCTGCCCTTCTCCCTCCTGGTACTCTCTCTCTCTCTCTCTCTACCTCTCTCTTGCGCTCTAATAAATAAAATCTTTTTTAAAAAACCCATTTGTTGAATAAACAATGATCTGTTCTTTCCAGGAACTAACATGGATATGCTGTCATTAAGATTTGTCAATCTAAATGACAAGAACTTATGGACATAATGGCATCAAATTTCTGAACTGAGATCATCCTAGAATATTTATGGCATATGTTTGGTATAATTAAAAAGTAAGGAAAAAAAACAGTTGAAACATAATCTCTATCTTGCAACATCAGTTCTGTGTGGTACACACTTCATTCCAGCAGTCTTTGACCCTGTCTTGTCAGAGTCCTGGCTGCCCCCCCCCACCCCGACATACATTGTTCACTCTCACCTTACTTCTTATTTTTTTTAAACATATATATTTATTATTGAAGTACTGTTGACATAGAATATTAGTTTCAGGTATACCACACAGTGATTTGATCATTCCCCCCTTTTTTTAAGATTTTATTTGAGAGGAAGAAAGAGCACAAGAGGGGAGGGACAGAGGGACAGGGAAAGGGAAAAGCACACTCCCCAGCAAACAGGGAGCCTGGCACCAGGCATGATCCCAGGACCCCAGAAACACAACCTCAGCCAAAGGCAGATGCCCAACGAACTGAGCCATCCAGGCCCCCGTGATTTGACAATTCTCAGTACTTGTCATGTACTTTACTCAGTACTTGCCATGATAAGTGTAATCACCATCTATCACCATACAACGTTATTACAATAGTAGTGAGTATATTCCCCATGCTGTACTTTTCATCTCCATGATTTATTTATTTAATTACTGGAAGTATGTACCTCTTAAACCCTCTCACCTATTTTACCCATCTGCCCATCCATCTCCCCTCTGGCAACCACAAATTTGTTCTCTGTATTTATAAGTCTATTTTGGTTTGTTTCTTCACTCGTTTTGTTTTTTAGATTCCACAACTGAGTGAAATCCTATGGTATTTGTCTTTTTCCGACTTATTTCACTTAACATAATACCCCCCTAGGTACATCCATGTTGTCACAAATGACAGCATTTCATTCTTTTTTATGACTAATATTCATGTGTATGTGTGTGTATGTACTACATTTTATTTATCCATTCATCGACCAATGGACACTTGGATTGCTTCCATTTCTTGACTATTGTAAATAATGCTGCAATAAACATAGGGATATATTTTTAAATTAGTGTTTTTGGTTTTGGGGGGTAAATACCCAGTAGTAGAATTACTACATCATATATTTCTATTTTTAATTTTTTGAGGACCTTCATACTGCTTTCCACAATGGCTGCACCAATACACATTCTCACCAAAAATTTATGAGGGTTCCCTTTTCTCTACATTCTTGCCAACACTTGTTATTTCTTGTCTTTTGATATGAAGTGATACCTCAAAGAATGAGACTGGACCACTTTCTTACACCATACACAAAAATAAACTCAAAATGTATTAAAGATCTAAATGTGGGACATGAAACCATAAAAGTCCTAAAAGAAAACATAGGTAAACTCTTGGACATCAGTCTTACCAATATATTTATAGGTATATCTTCTCAGGCAAGAGAAATAAAAGTAAAGATAAACTAATGGGACTACCCCAAAACAAAAGCTTATGCACAGCAAAGGAAGCCATCCACAACACAAAAAGCAACCTACTGAATGGGAGAAAATATCTGCAAACCATTTACCTGAAGGGCTTACTAACCAAAATATATAAAGAACTTCTACAACATCCAAAAAATAATCATAATAATCTGATTTAAAATGGGCAGAGGACCTGAATAGACATTTTCCAAAGAGGACATACAGATGGCCAATAGACACATGAAAAGCTATTTGACATCGCTAATCATCAGAGAAAGGCAAACCACCTTACGTCTTCTTTTGCTATTCGTTAGGCCTTGAAATGCTATCTTGTGCATCATCATTCTATTCTGTGCCCCTCATTAGGAGAAATAAAGTAAATCATCTTCAAAAAGTTTGCACTTGGGACACTAGGGTGGCTCAACAGTTGAGTGCCTGCCTTCGGCCCAGGGCATGATCCTGGAGTCCAATGATCGAGTCCCACATCAGGCTCCCTGGATGGAGCCTGCTTCTCTCTCTCTCTCTGTCTCTCATGAATAAATTATAATCTTTAAAAACAAATTTGCACTTGGGGCACGTGAGTGGCAGTGGTTAAGTAGAGTCTGCCTTTGGCTCAGGTCGTGATCCCGGGGTCCTGGGATTGAGTCCCACATCCTCTTTGCAGGGAGCCTGCTTCTCCCTCTGCCTGTCTCTGCCTCTCTCTCTTTGTGTGTGTGTGTGTGTGTGTCTCATGAATAAATAAAATCTTAAAAAAAAAACAAAAAACTTTGGACTTACTAACCTCTTCATACCCAAAACAATCCTTATAGTAAAAAGCTGTCTTTTCTGAACATGAGAAGAACTTTGCGTGTACTTTTTAAGAAATAAGAGAATTTGATAATTTCTCATACTGTTTGTAATACTTAAATATCAACAGTAAGTTAAGTTAAATGACAATCGTGTTTTCCTTAATCCAAGCTTCTTCATGAGGTTATCTGTTTCTCTCCTTGGAATTCCCACTGCATTTCATTCCTCTTTTGAGCATAATTCACTGTTTTATATTATGGCTCTCTGTCAATGCTTGCTTCCTCTATGAGATTACAACTCCTTCTGAGATAGTACTCAGTGTCTTAATCTTAGACTAGTGTCTAAGATAGACTAGTGTCTTAATCTTATTTGCACTCCTTCTCGTTCTCAGCACAATGCCTGACATACTATAGGTGCACAATACACAGGTGTTTTTGAATGAAGAAAAATTAACCAGAAGAGGTTTCTATGGTGATATTATTACAGCTTTTTTCTTCCATATAGGCCTGTCAGCCTGGAAATAAAACACTTACTAAAAACAGTTCAGAGACTCCTATCCATGAAACTGTTTGTATGATATAATTCTGAACAAGGTTAGGGGCTTCCAAGCTATAGAGAAAGCTGTCTGCTCTCCTGTGTTACTTTCAAAGCAAATAAAAAGGTTCCTGAGATATAAATACTAAGTCTAGAATTCCATATATTAGTGGTTACTATCCTTTTTCTTAGTGGCAGTACGGTAAAATAGGAACTGGGGTCTGAACTCAGAATTTAACATCGGGCTCCCTGCATGGAGCCTGCTTCTCTCTCTGCCTGTGTTTCTGCCTCTCTCTCTCTCTCTCTCTCTCTCTCTGTGTGTCTCTCATGAATAAATACATAAAATCTTAAAAAGAGAGAGAGAGAGAGAGAGAGAGAGAGAAAGGCAGCCCGAGTGGCTCAGTGGTTTAGCGCCTGCCTTCAGCCCAGGGCAGGATCCTGGAGACGGGGATCAAGTCCCACATCGGGCTCCCTGCATGGAGCCTGCTTCTCTCTCTGCCTGTGTTTCTACCTCTCTGTGTGTGTGTGTGTCTCTCATGAATAAATAAATAAAATCTTAAAAAAAATGAATTCAGAATGTAAGGATTTCAATCTCAGGTCCACCACGTATTAGCTTTGTGACCTTGCAAGCTGTTTAACTTCTCTGTGCCTCACACAGTACAGTCCCTCAAAGGAATGGTATAGGAATTCATGACTTGATATATTTAAAGTTTTTAGAATAGTACCTGGTACTTTGTTTAGAAGTGATAGCATACAACACCAAGTGCTGATTACTTCAACTGATGAATCACTAAATTCTTACTCTGAAAATAATAATACATTATATGTTAATTAAATTGAATTTTTTTTTAAAAAAGGGGGTTAGGAATATGTAGTACTAACTATATTGCTCTTCTATTCCCTATTGATAAGTTCCAAGATGTTAAGGACAAAATGAGTTTTGTTTTTATCCCCTATTACCCGCCTAGCACAGTATGTAACAAATAGTAGACGCTCCAAAAATGACGCGAATTGTATTGGAAACATGTATGAGTGCGCAAGAAAATGAAGGTGTGTTGATGTAAATGAAATTGCAAAGGGTTCTTGGCATATCGTTTGCGTATCTTCACTTATTTCCTTATAGTTAGTTGTTAGGTGCTTTATGACTTGATCTTTTTCTTGCCCTCTTCAGAGCGTGCACTTTGGTGTAATGCATGTTATATCCCTGAGGACTACTGGCCTCCTCACATGCTGGCTATTCAAATTAGTCTGAGGATGAGGCTGCGGCAGGCAAAAGTGGGTTACGTTACAGTTCTGCCTGCTGCTGGGGATGGAGGACCAATAACCTCAGAATACAGCGCACAGGAACAGCTGGGCCAGCAGAGCACTCTGTGAAGGCTCATCTGGACACTCCGCAGTGGGGTACTGCCAAGGTGAGCGCCCTAACGCGCGGGTCGCCCGCCCGGAGGCCCTCACGCTGCAGCAGGGTCTGGCGACGGAGGGAAAGGCTCCGGCCAAGGCCGCCTGGATGAGTCATTCTCACCTCCCCAGGCAGGTGCGGGGGGCAGGACGCGTCGCCTTGGCTGCCAGGAGCCAGGAGCCGGGAGCCGGGAGCCGGGAGCCGGGAGCCGGGAGCCGGGAGCCGCCGCCGCGGAGCCCCTTCCCGGGACGCCTCCTCTGGGCCAGCACTGACCTTGCCGCTGGCAGCCCGACTGCCGAGAAGACCCGGCGCCGCAGAGCCGGACACTGGTCGACGGTGCCCACTGGCACCCGGACCCACAGGTGTCGGAGCCTGCCGCCGCCCTCCTGCGCTGCCTCAGCGCCTCCTCCCCACGCGAGGTCGCCAGCAGAGCGCCGAGGGCCGCGGCACGAGGCTCAGGAGCACTGGGCGGGGCGCGCGCCCACCGGCCCGCGGAGGTCTTCTCGCGCGGGCGCACGCGCCGCAGCCGCGCGGGGCGGGGGGTGGGGCGGGTGGGTGTGCTTGGGGCGCGCGCGCCGCCGCCGCCGCCGCCGCCGCCGCCGCCTCAGCCTGCTGCTCCGCCTGCGCCTCCTGCTCCCGGCGCTCGGCCCCAGCACGCCGGCTCCCGAGCGGCCATGGGCGGCGCGGGGTCCGCAGTGTAGAGTCCGCCCGTCCCGGACCCGCGTCCCGCACCCTGACGGTCCCGGTAAGCGGGGGCGGGGGCGGCGGGGACTCGGCAGGCACCCTAAGGGACGAGTCTGCGGGCCGCGGACAGCCCTTTGGGGACTGTGAGGTGTTGTGTGGGAGCAGCCCCTAAGGGAGTCCCTGTGTAAGTGGATAAACCCCGAGTGTCCCTGCCTCTGCCGCTGGGAGAGTCCCGGAGGCGGTTCGGGGAGCCGCCCCCATGGAAGACCCCTGTGTGAAGGGGGACTCCAGGGCTCTCTCTGAGGAGCAGCGTGAGGCACTGTCCCCGCAGAGAGACCGTCCGTAGAACTCCCGGAGGCCAAGGGTAGTCTCTGGTGTTGTCTCAGTGGAAGACCATTTGAGAACATAGGGGAGCCTCGGGAGCCTGCGCGGTGGAGCGGGACCGCACAGAGGACTCCTGTGTGAAGGAATACCTTAGGCTGAGCGCTAGAACTGCCGGAAGGAATGAATCTCTGACTGGAAGGAGAGGAGGCTGCTACGGGATCTAGGCCAGGAGTAACTTCCCCATATGCACCAAAGGACTTTGGCCTTGCCTTGACTTTTCTAGGGGTCAGTGTGCCCGAAGTTGTGTCCCTCCAAGGTGGTTGAAGGGCTGGGGCCCTGCGGGGCTGCTGCCTTTGTCCGTTCCTCCCCGCAGCCCCGTTAGAAATTTATTCTCCGTGGTAGCCCAGATTGGCTCCAGGCTGGAATTTGTGGAGGCAGGAACTTCTCTTAGAGCAAAGGGCATAGGGGAAGGGAGGACCACTGAGGCCTCTGAAGCAAAGATGGGAGACTTGAGGCCCTGGGCTCGACTGTCCATAAGCAAGCAGTTAAGATGAGGTGGAATAGTTGATCCTGGCTGGCCCTGGAAGAGAAAGCCCTTTGAAGGGAGGAAAAAGGATATTTAGGATTATTGAGCACCTATGTGCCAAGTACCATGCCAGGGATGGTAACATCTCATATAAACGTTACAAAAACATCATGAGATTATCTCCTTTTAAACATTAAGCGCTTTAAACTCAGGTTTAGCAATTTGTCCAAGGTCACAAAGCTTGGAATCATGAAATCTGCTTTTTTAAAGCTTATTTAGGAAAAAGTATCAAGGACAGGCAGAAGCAAGAATGTATATTTGTTAAGTTGCTTTAAGATACCAAGTGTAGGGATGCCTGGGTGGCTCAGCGGTTGAGCATCTGCCTTCAGCTCAGGGCGTGCTAGGTCCTGGGTTTGAGTTCCATATCCGGCTCCCTGTGGGGAGCCTGCTTCTCCATCTGCCTGTTTCTCTGCCTCTTTGTGTGTCTCTCATGAATAAATAAATAAAATCTTAAAGAAAACAGATACCAAGTGTAGGGCTTTGCAGTAGTATATGGTTAGTAAATGAGATGAGTAAATAAGTGAATCTGGACAGCTTAATTGGGGATGAGACTGCTGCAGGAAGTGATTTCCACCTAAACCCCAGATTTTAGGGTGTGGCTTCCTTCACTGGCAGCCCAACTGTAACCATGCCTCTGGGTTTCTCCGACTTAATTGGGTCTGGGAGAGGCCTCTGGGTGTGGTCTTTGATAGGACTTGCTCTGGGGAACTAGAACCCTTCAGAGGCTGGTGTTCTAAGACCACTGTCTCAGTTTCCAGAATCCTTGAGGGAGCAGAGGGAGAGACAGGGTAACTTTTAGAAAGTGTGATTCAGTGCCTTTATGGCCATCTAACTACTGCACCACAAACACTGTTTCACAGATAACACGCAGGACACTTTCCAAAAAATGCCTCTGCATGATGAGGAGGCAGAACAGGTGCAGAGCCAAGGAAGACTTTTTGGAAGCGCATTGTCTGAGGAGGGCAAAGGGTCTGCACCTGATACAGTGATGCACTCTCATCTCACCCCCTTGGCTGTGGTAGTGCTTTAATTCCACCTGAATTCCAAGGGTGCAAATTTGGGACCAATGAGATATTCTGGTTTCTTGTCCAAAAAATGGAGTGGTGAAGGAAGTAAGCAGTGTAATTCACCAGAGAACCATTCTGAGTTTTCCTGTTCCCCTTTCTGTCCTTCCACAAAGCCAAACCTAGTGACATCCTCCTTTAATAGAAGTGGCTTCCTTGGGCTCCTAGGGTTATTTAGGAAAGATCAGGTTTGTGAGAAAACAAAACAACCTGATTTACCAATTGTTAGCTTTTCTATTTAACTCAATGACTGCCTGAAGCATGGGTGTGGCCCCTCATGCACAGCTCCATCAGTGGAGTAAATTCTGACAAAGGTTTATATTAGTTAATCACCTCCCCATTACAGAGTTATTAATCCCCTTTCAGTTCAGACCCCTTTCATCCGCTTAACACACCAAAATAAATAGGGATATGGAGATATATAGATATATCCATATTTTTTAAAGAAAATCAGAAGAAGCAAGCCTGCAAATATCGTCTTACTCCAGAATACATCATTGGGTTTTTTTCTAGATGGTCTTTTCATTGAGGTCTTTTGGTGTCACACCCTCCTCATGTCCCTAGAAAAATTGCTTGATGGCTTTAGGTACTCCCCAAATACTGGACCTTCAATCATCTCCTTGATGTCCAAGTTTGGGTAAACATAAAGATTACAAAAATCCTAGGAATACCATCTAACTCCCCTAATCACAACATAAGTCAAATCATTCCAGAATGGATGTGAGGGATGTCACAAAGTTGCCTTAATTTACTAAAAAAACAAAAACAAAAAACAAAAAATTTTCCTCCAAAGGAAAATAAAAAGGGAGAGAATTTCACTTGCATGTACACAGATAAATCTGGGGTTAACTTACAGATTTTTTAACCTTTAATTTTCCACATCTTCTGATCACATCCTTAAAGTTTTCTTTCTCTATATTTTCCGTATTTTTGACAGTGCTTCCTTTTCCTCAAAAATGAATAGTAAGTCTTTCTCCAGCCCATTTCCCACACTCCCTTTATTTTTTCCAGTAAACCTGTTCCTAAGTGGATCATATTTATGCAAATAGTTTCCTTTCTCTTTACAGAATCTATTATCTTCTAGTCTCACCTGCTTTTCTCCATCAGTACTCTTGATTTCTGCTATCTTCATTTCCCAAATTGATTTATTCACTTCTGATGGGAATATCATCATCCACTCCACCCCTCAATCTTAATGACCAAGTTCTGACAGGAATTGCTTACCAGCTTTGGACCAAGAAACCAAGACCATCAATTTGTAGCTGGAGACATGATTATTTTTTCCATTATAGCATCCCTCTCCATCCTCTCCTTCCAGCAATCCCCTCAGAGACTCACAGATACTTATTAAGTGCTATTTGCCAGGCACTATGCTAGATAAATATGATTGTTGCTTGCCCTTGAGGAGTTCACATAGAATCAGTCTGCATTTCTCTAATTATTAGAGTAAGAAAACTAAGGGGAAATTATAGTTTTACTGAGTATAGGAATCAATGTAGACTATGCTTTTTCCTAGGCATCACTGAAATGCAGCTGCTGTTCTGTGCCTCGTCTGGCAGCTCCATTGTTAACTCCCTGCCATTGCCCTGCCAAAATTACTTGTTCCCATATGCTTTGAGTGAACTGGCCATACTCTTAGCTTCTTAGGATAATAATGATAGTAACTTATATTTGGATAACATGTTGTAGTTAAAGCCCTTTTACATACATTATTTCTATTTGTTTTTGAGGCATGTTTCCTCTTACTAGAGTCTTCTCACTAAAACAACAGCGTGTGGGCTGCCTGGATCACTTTCTCTATTTTTTTTTTTTAAGTCTCTTAATCAAGTTTATGGGTCTCCCAGAGGGAAAGCCCCAGTGATTCACTACAGTCACCACCTACCAGCTCTCAGACTATGGAGAGGAGTTTCTTGTTGGCTCCAGAGGCCAAGCAATGTGCTCACTGGTCAGCCCTGGTACTTATCAGGGCTATCCTACTACCTGGCCTCAGAAAATTCAGTTCTCTGTGTTTTTTTCCTCCTGAAATCCCAACACATATTCCCTTCTAAATAAGTATTGTCAGCTTACTGTCTCAAACCAGTTTTTTGGGCTGATTCATAACATGAAGGCAGTTTTCCTTGCCTATTTCTATCCAGCAACCAGCTGGCTTCATACCATCTAAGCTATGATGGAGTCCCCGTATAGCAATCCATGCCTTGGCATGTGCTCTTACCTCTTCCTGGAATGCCTTTTTTTTTTTCCTAAGCCATTCGGGTAACTCCCACTCATATTTCAAAATTTAGCTCAAGCAACACCTTTTTTAAAAATCCTACACTCATGCCCCCTACACATGCATGTACACTGCATTCTTACAGGCTGAGATTCCATTTGTTCATTCTACCAAGTTATTAAGTGCCTGAATTGTGCCTGACACATAGTAGGCTGCACTCAGCATATATTTGTAGAATCAGTAAACAAGTAAAGATAATTAAGGTGTAATAAGTTCATTAAATGAGTTGAATCTCTGCTTCAGAAGCCCACAGCAGAGAACAGGGAGTGCCTCTCCATCTTGCTGAAAAGCTCTGCTTGCTAAATGCAGTCATACCAGCCAATCACTGATAGTGTGCTATTTCTTAACTGTTGTTCTGCTTCTGTGGGAAACCAGCACTGTAGCTCTTCATGAAGACTCATCCCAAGCCTCCAGAGGCTGAGGATCATGCCATAATTTTGTTCTCATGTATATTAGAGCTTTGTTGGCTTTCAGTAAATATTAACAACAGGACCTCTGTCATGTCTTATTCTCTTGAGCAGAGTGGAGAAAGATAGTTTTAGTCTTTAGCTCTTCTGCTGCTGGGAAACCCCAAAAGAGCCCTGTGCAGTTGGGGGATGACTCTCTCTGTACTAACTGAAGCCAGTACTACTGTGCTGGATAAATAGGGAGAATGGAGAAAGACAGGGAGGTACTAGGTAGACCCCTTCAAGGTCTGCAGACATGAAAACTAAAATTAATCTGTAAGCTACTGCTAGGCCACAGAATGGCTGACTATGAACAGGGATCCCAGAGCAGTGTCATGAGACACTGTATTCCTAAATCAAAACTTTTTATTG